GCTGGGGGATTGAACCGCGGTCCCTGATGCTTTGCTAAGCTTGTTCTAAGTGGGTGCTTTAGACCACTGAGCCATCTCATCAGCCCATCTCTAATATATTTTAAAAATGCACATTTTTTAATGTGGATACCCAGGAGGGGAATAGCTGGGTGAAATGGGACTTCCAATCCTAGCTTTTTGTCTCTACACTGATTTCTATAGTGGTTGTATGTAGTGGATTTCTTTTTTCTTTTTTTTTTCTAGTTCTTTTATATTAATTTTTATTTATTTATTTATTTATTTATTCATTTATTTATTTATTTATGTATGTAGTTGATTTCTAACAGGTGGTCAATTTACTACACCCAGCTGAGTTAAACTAGCATGGTGCTGGGTGCGGGAGGCCCACCTGAGGGTTGTTGCCAGTGGCATAAAAGGCAGAACAGGAGAAGCTGCTAAAATGCTGTTAGAGATGCTGTTTGGAGAAGCTGTTAGAAGCTGCTAGTTCTCTTGGTCTGTTCTGGTGGAGGACCTTGTTGTGTTGGCTTTCCTGATGAACTCTGGAGAAGCTTGGGTCCTCATCTTGAGCATCACTTCCTGGCTCCGGAGGGGAAGATAGTGCACTGCTCAGCTTCATGAAACTTGTTGCATTGGCTTTCCTGATGGGAACTTGGCCTTCCTTATTGATAGAGGAACTTGGGACCTCACTGTTGCTGAGGAGGGCTGTGGTACTTTTGGGGGCACTCTGGTTCTTACCTGGAGCATTGCTTCCTGGCTCTGGTGCAGATCCCTCAGCCTGCTGGCACAGATCCTTCATCCTGCTGGCATAGACTTCTCAGCTTCCACCACTGACCTTTGGGCCTTTCCAGCACAGGTCTATGAAGCAGGCCAGCATGAGACTTTGTTGTGGGCGGCTCTAGGCATCCATTTGGACTTGTGGGAGGCATTGATATGAGCTCTAGGCCCTTAGCTGGATTCATTAATATTTAGTGTGTGCATAGAGTTTCTGTACTTGTAGTATGTGACTCTTGGATGATTCATTATAAAATACTATCATAAAACGTGTCCTGTACTACATCATTTACCTTGCAAAAATCCCAGACTATGACATTGTACCAGTTTGAACTCCCACCAATAATGGAGGAAGGTTCCTTTTCTCTCACAGCCCCACTAGCATTTGTTATTGGTTAGTTTCTTGATGATAGCTATTCTTTCTGGGATGAGACAGAATCTCAGTGTTGTTTTAATTTGCATCTCAAAAGAATAAGGATGTTGAACATTTTTTTGTATATTTATTTGCCATTTGTAATTCTTTAGCTGAGAAGTTTGTATTCATCTCAGATGCCCATTTTTGGATTGGGTCTTTCAATTTGGAAGCTCTGAATTTCTTGAGTTCTTTGTATGTTCTCACTTGTCTGAGGAACTGCTAGAAAACATTTTTTGCCTTGTGGGTTGTCTCTTCACTCTGTTGGTTGTTTTTCTTGCTGTGCAAAAGTTTTTCTTGCTGTGTGAAAAAAATGATTTTTCTGTGATAGTTCCTGTGAGATCAGTGTTTTCTTCATAAAGCCTTTGACTTCCAGCAGATTTAATGTTTCTGTTTAAACATTTAGATCTTTGATCCATTTCAAATTTAACTTTGTGCATGGTGAAAGATATGGATCCAGTTTAATCTTGACCATATGCAAAGCCAGTTTTTTCCAGAGAAGCTTTCTTCCTGTGAATGTGTTTGGCATCTTCGTCAAAGATAAGGTGGCTAAGTATGTCTTGAGTTGATTCTGCATCTTATAATCTGTTCTATTGATCTTTGGGTCTTTTTTCCCCCAGTACCATGCTGTTTTTATTACAGTAGCTTTATAGTATAGTTTCAAGTCAGGGATTATGATCCCCCCTCCCCCTCGCCTTCCCTTTGTTGTCCAGAATTGCCTTTGTTAGTCTAGGTCTCTTCTGGTTCCAAATGAATTCTAGAATTGTTTTCTCTAATTCTGTGAGATATGCTCTTGGAATTTTGATCAGAATTGTATTAAATCCTTACTTCAGTTTTGGAAGTATAGCCATTTTCACTCTGTTGGTTCATCCTACCAAAGAGCAAGGGATCGCCTTCCATTTTCTTTCTTTCTTTTTTTTTGAGACAGAGTCTCATAGTGCAGTTTGGGCTGGCCTTGTGCTCACTTTTATAGGCCCTAGGCTGGTCTCAAACTCACTACGATCCTCCTGTCTCAATCTCCAGAGTTGACTGGGGCTGGGAATTGAACATAAGACCTTGTGCTTGCCAGATAGGTGCTTATGCTTCTGAGCTATCTCCCCAGCCCCCCAGTCTTCCATTTTCTGATATCCTCTTCAATTTTCTTTTTCAGAGTACTGTAGGTTTCAGTGTAGAAGTCTTCTATATCCTTGGTTAGACTGATTCCTGAGTATTTTATTTTATTTTTTGGCTGCTGTTGTGAAAGGTGTTTCCCTAATTTCTCTCTAAGTGAGTTTATGTACAGGAATGTTACTGATTTTTTGAGTGTTGACTTTGTATCCAGCTATGCTACCAAATTTGCTTATTAAATCTAGCAGTTATTTAGTGGAGTTTGGGGGTCTTCTATATAGAGTATCATGTCATCTGCAAATGATAATTTTCCTCCTTCCTTTCCTATCTTTATTCCCTTTATTTTCTTTTCTTGTCTATTTGCTCTGGCTAAAGTTTCCAGGGATATGTTAAATAAGAATGGAGAAAGTAGACAGCCTTGTTGTATTCCTGATTTTTAGAGTGAAAGCTTTCAGTTTTTCTCCATTTAGTATGATGTTGGCTGGTGGTTTGTCAGAGGGCTTTTTATTAGATTGAGGTAAAGACCATCTGTTCCAATTTTCTATAGGGTTTTTATCATAAATAGGTGCTGGCCTCTGTTCAAAGCTTTTTCGGCATCTATTGAGATGATCGTATGGTTTTTGTCCTTGGCTCTGTTAATATGGTGTATTACATGTATTGATTCACATATGTTGAGCCTTTCCTGCATCCCTGGGTGAAGACAATTTGGCCATCATGTGTAATCTTCTTGCTGATTTGCTGCATTGTTTGCCAGTATCTTATTGAGAAGTTTTGCATCTGTGTTCATTAGATTTTACATCTATGCTCATTAGGGAGACTGGCCTGTACTTCTCTTTCTTAGTTGGATCTTTCTCTGGTTTTGGTGTCAGGGTAATGCTTGCTTCCAGGAATGAATTTGGGAGAATTAGTTCCCTTTCAATTTCATTAAAGAGTTTGAGAACTGGTGGTATTAGATCTCTAAATTTCTTGTAGAATTTAGCAGTGAATCTGTCATGGCATGGGCTTTTCTTTTATGATAGGTTTTTAAATATATCTTTGATTTCACTCATAAAATTGATTTATTTAGGGCTTTTATATCTTCTTGATTTAGCTTTGGTAATTCATATGTATCTAGAAATCCGTCCATTTCTTTTGCATTTTCCATCCTGTTTTTTGGCAAGTGGACCCCATTCCAGTGGGCTCCTGAGTACCTTTGACATAGATGAAATTTTTTGTAGCTTGTTTTCTTGTACGCAGGATTTTCCAAGCTTATCACTTAAAATTCCTGACATTTCTGCAAGAGGGTCTTACTTTGTTCCAGTGGGAGATTATATTTAGAGAAAATGTACACATATCTAGTAGGGGAATGCAGTATAGTTTTTAAAAAATGAAGTGCATCATTGCTTTATACTATACTTTCATTTAAATCCAGAGCTACTGGGACATTTCCTTAATCTCACCCATATCACAGAAATCTCTTCTTTCATTCACACTTAAAACACTACTTTTGAAAATAACACCAAAAAAGGTAGCCATATGATTAAAACACACAGTATATAACACAACCACTCACCATCACCCCTGCTGCCTCCCAGGCTCAGGAAACCTAATACCTACTTCTGCTTAGGTAAGTTTGAAATTCAACTTTTATCTTCCATCTCCTCGGCCCATTAAAGGTTCTGCTTATCTTTTCCATTTCTCTTCTGGAATTGACAGATATCTCCAGGAGAGAATTGGTTACACAAGCCAGGCTCACTTCCCTATGTTTAACTCATTTTTGAGATATTAGACTGGTAAATTGGGTTGGTTGTGCTTGTCTATAATCCCCATCTACTTCGAGGCTGCGACGGGAGGAGCTTAAATTGGAGGCCAGTCTGGGCATTCTTAGAAAGAACTTGTCTCCAGATAAAAAATACAACAGGATAGGGATGTAGTTGAGTGAGTGGTAAAGCACCCCTGGTTTCTATGTCCAGTACTGGAAAGATAAATAAATATATTAGACTTCTTTGCCTTCTGATGTCTTCAAGTATGTTTTAAAGTATTTTGCCAGGCTGGGGAGATACCTCAGTTGAGTAAGTGCTTGCCTGGCAAGCGCAAGGTCTTGAGTTTGATCCCTGGTACCAAAAAAAAAAAGTATTTTGCCAATCTTTTCTCCTTGTGTTCAGGAGGGGTGGGTCTGAACGATTTGATCCAGCATTACTGGAAGTGGAAGTCCCCTTCTCACTTACCTTTTGAGCACGTAGCTTCTAATATGTTTTATATAACCACAGTATTTGATTTTATTTCACAGGTTCTGAGGCAGAAACACCTGGATGACTGTCTGCGGCAGGTATCTGTAAGAAGGTTTGAGTCATTTAATCTGTTTTCAGTAACAGAAGCGAAAAAATGGGAAACTAAAGAAGAGGCCGGTGCATGGATCCAATACACAAGTGTCTTTTATCCTGAATATAATATCTTCTTAAGGTAACCATTATCCTAGTTATAATTTTTAAAACTATTTGTCTCTTGTAGAAGGGAAAAAAATCTTTGAGAAGATCATTCTTTCAATTAAGAGTCTCATTCTTCCTTCTCCTGAATTTGCAGATAATTTTTACCTCAACTAAGGCTTTGTGTATTTGTTTTAGAAAATCCTGCTACTTTAACTGGTCTTGCTGCATTTTCAGACTAAAGGAAAAAGCCTTTAGCATATAGCTGCATTTGAGAATAAAGTGAGTTGTAAATCAAATCAAAGGGTTCATTAATTTCTTCTCTCGTGTATAGCATTTGATTATGAAAAAAAAGCTTTTTTTTTAAGCAAAAAAGGTTGAAAATGAAAAGATTTTTTTCCCAACTACTTTTCAAGTACTAGTTATTTGAAAAATGAAGTTTTTTTATTTTTCCCATTCATGTTTTGTCACGTTAAGAATAGAATCTGAAGAATCCGAGGAGATCATCAGTGAAAACACTGATGTTGTGAGAAGTACACAGTGTTCTGGCTTTAAAAATTAGAAGAGAGAACAGCGTTGCAAACTGTAGTAACAAGATGTCACTTTTTCTGAATTAATTTTCTTGCACAATTATATTCTAGCACATTACAATAATACTGTAGTTGTTTCATTTTATAAAATCTGCTTTTCCTGGCAGGATTTAACATTTTGAGAAGGAAGGAGAGGCACATTTTGTAGTAACTTTAAGAAGATCTAAACACTTCCAGTGGACATATGACTGGAGAAGCTTACTTGAGGCTAGAAATAATCTTAAGAAAAAACTTTCCATGAAGAATATCTATTTATGGGCTGGTGAGATGGCTCAGTGGTCTAAAGCACCTATTTGGAACAAGCTTAGCAAAGCACAGGGACCGCGGTTCAATCCCCCAGCACCACATGCCAGCCAGCGCCACCCCCTGGTGGGCTGAGCTGCCCCCCCACATTAAAAAAAAAAAAGAGTATGTATTTATATGTTTCTTGAACTATTTTAGTTGTAAGTATGTAAGTTTTAAAGTATAATATAATAGTTCAAATTTTGAGATTTGAGTAAAATCAACTAGGTTGGAGCAGGAAAGGACAGTCAGGATCTGGTTAGCTCCCAGCTCCTGCTAAGCTTGTGTGGCAGCCACCTCCCTCAGCCACCATCATGATTACCTACTGGGACCTCATCAGCCACGAAGACATGTTCTCCGACATTTACAAGATGTGGGAGATTGTGGACGGGCTGTGCCTGGAGGTGGAGGGCAAGATGGGCAGTAGAACAGAGGGTGCCATTGACGACGCGCTCATTGGTGGCAGTGCCTCCGCTGAAGGCCCAGAGGGCGAAGGCACCGAAAGCACAGTGTCACTGGTGTAGATATTGAAATGAACCATCACTGGCAGGAAACCAGCTTCACAAAAGAGGCCACAAGAAGTACATAAAAAAAAAAAAAAAAAAAAAAGTACATCAAAGATTATATGAAACCAATCAAAGGCAAACTTGAAGAATAAAGACCAGAAAGAGTAAAACTGTTTACGATGGAGGCTGCAGAGCAAATCAAGCACATCCTTGCTAATTTCAAAAACTCTCAGTTCTTGATTGGTGCAAACATGAATCCAGATGGAATGGTTGCTCTCTGGGACTGTTGTGAGGACGGTATGACCCCATGTATGATTTTCTTTAAGGATGGTTTAGAAATGGAAAAATGTTAATGGATTCAATGGTAACGTTGGATTTATCACTTGTCATAACTGGCTGCTGCTTGTCATCTACACAACACCGGGATTTTAGACAAATGGGGCTGATGTCATCTTGAATGCTTTGTTTATTTTGACTGTGACTTATTTGGGGTGGAGGCATTGTTTTTTAGGGGAAAAAAAAACACATCATGTAGGTTATCTAAAAATAAAGTGCATTTAAACTCAAAAAACAGGGCTGGTGAGATAGCTCAGTGGTCTAAAGTGCGTGCTTAGGCAAGCTTAGGCAGGCGCAGGGGACCACGCTTTGATCCCCAGCACCACATGTCATGCCAGCTCCACCCTCGGGGCAGGCTGAGCCGGCCAAAAAAATAAATAAGTAAATAAATAAATTAAAAAAAAAAAACAGCAAAAAACCACTAAACAGAGACAAGGGCCTGGGAGATAGCTCAGTGGCATAAATGCCTGCCTGGCAAGTGCAGGGTCCTGAATTCAATCCCTGGTACTGCCAAAAAATTAAAATTAAAATAAAAAAATAAATAAATTGAGACAAATTCAGGGATTTGAGAGCTTTCTTTATGAAAGTCTAATTTTAATTAATTAATTAATTTTGGGTAGAGTGGCTTTATTGATGGTGTGCAATGGCAGCGAGCCGGGGCTCCCAAGGCCTCTCCCCTTCCAGGGGGTCTGGGGTGGAAGCTGTGAGGGGAGATCCTCAGTGTTGGGGCTGAGTAGTGCAGTAACTTCTACAACGTGGCCTCTCTGTCCCTCTGGTCTTGTTGGGCTGTGGTGTGGGGGCTACTTATTCCTTAGAGGCCATCTGGACCATGAGGTCCACTGCCCTGTTGCTGTAGCTGAACTCACCATCATTCCAGGAAATGAGCTTGACAAAGTGGTCATTCAGGGTGATGCGAGCCCCAGCATCAAAGGTGGAAGAGTGGGTGTCACTATTGAAGTCACAAGACACAACCTGGTCCTCAGTATAGCCCAGGATGCCTTTGAGGGGACCAGCTGATGCCTGCTTCACCACCTTTTTTTTTTTTTTGCAGAACCAGGGATTGAACTCAGGCCCTTGCGCTTGCCAGGGAAGCACTTATTCCACTGAGCGATCTCCCTGGCCCCCTACCACCCTCTTGATGTTGTTGTATTTAGCCACTTTGTCCAGGGGGCAGGTCAAATCCACCTCTGACACGTTGGGAGTGGGCACAGGGAAGGCCTTGCCTGTGAGTTTCTCGTTGAGCTCCAGGATGAATTTGCCCACGGCCTTAGCAGCACCATTGCATACAGGGATGATGTTCTGGGCAGCCCCACGGCCATCATGCCACAGCTTCCCAGAGGGGCCGTCCACAGTCTTCTGGGTGGCAGGGATGACATGGACTATGGTCGTGAGTCCCTCCACAATGCCAGAGTTGTCATGGATGACCTTGGCCAGTGGGCTGAGCAGTTGGTGGTGCAGGAAGCGTTACTGACCATCTTGAGAGAGTTGTCTTACTTCTCATGATCCACACCCATCACAACATGGGGGCATCAGTGGAAGGGACAGAGATGATGACCCTTTTGGCACCACCCTTCAGGTGAGCCCGGCCTTCTCCATGGTGGTGAAGACACCAGTGGACTCCACTGCGTACTCCGCGCAGCATCACCACACTTGACGTTGGCGGGATCTCGCTCCTGGAAGATGGTGATGGCCTTTCTGTTGATGATGAGCTTCCCGTTCTCAGCCTTGACAGTGCCGTGGAACTTGCCGTGGTAGAGTCATACTGGAACATGTAGACCACGTAGTTGAGGTCAATGAAGGGGTCATTGATGGCCACAACGTCCACCTTGCCAGAGTTAAAAGCAGCCCTGGTCACCAGGCATCCAATACGGCCAAATCTGTTCACTGCGACCTTCACCATCTTGTCTGGATGGATAGCTTGCTGGATGGCTGCATGGGAAGAACCGCTCTCTGAAAATCTAATTTAAGTGCGTCCTTTGCATTGCACTGTGATGGAGATAATTGATTTAGTTCTTTGTTGTAAAGGAAAGAGCAGTGCATTAAATACTTACTTTGGGCCATGTAGACAGGTGTTTTGATGTAGTTTATTTTACATAATCCTTACCATAACTCTGGGAACTATGAATAAAGATGATTAAGCAGTTGGAAAATAATATGCTTAAGGAAACGAAAAAGAAAAACAATGACCTAGTTAGGAGTTTTCAGGTATAAAGTTTAAAACTTTCCTTTATATCTGCTGGTGATAACAGGCAGGATGTATAACCTGTAGCAGGAGTTTCCTGGCATCTTCAAGGCCCTGGTAAGAGGGCCTAGGGAAAATGTAGCGTCTTATGCTGTTGAGATCTTTGCACATAAGGCCAGGTGGGGGTGATCATACTGCAGTATCATCCAGCCCAGACTGTAAACCGAGGCTTGTCACCAAGCAGCATGGTTCTTTGTGACACTCATTTTTGAATAAGTACAGTCATCTTATATAAGTATGACACTAAATCCTAAGTTTGAAGAACAGACAAGTTCATGAGCCCTTTTGATCTTTTTCCATTCTGCATATTTTTCCACATCAGTAGGGCAAAAATAGCAATACCTTAAGCTTACAGAATTCTAGGGCAAAAAAAAAAAAAAAAAAAAGGGGGGGGGAGAGGGTCAGGGGGTGTAAAGCACCTACTTTGAAGAAGCTTAGCAAAGCACGGGGACTGCGGTTCAATCCCCCAGCACCACATGCCAGCCAGCCCCGCCCCCTGGTGGGCTGAGCTGGCCACACACACACACACAAATAAATAAATAAATAAATAAATAAAAGAATTCTAGGGCTAAAAGTGAACTTAAATTTTAAAATAATTGTAAACCTAATAATGGCTGGTGATTTGTACCTACTAGATGGTAGCACTGATTTGAACATTTCCATGGGTTCATGTCTTTAATCCACTCAACAGCCTTACAAGGTAAATGATGTTATTCTCACTTTATGGATGAAGAAAGTAAAGCATAGAGATTAGTAGTAGCTTGGTTGAGGTCACATAGTAATTGTGCCTGTGTTCACACCCAAGTGGTCTGGTTCTACAACCTGTATTTTTTAATTTTTTAGTGTGTGTGTGTGTGTGTGTGTGGCCAGCTCAGCCCACCAGGGGGCGGGGCTGGCTGGCATGTGGTGCTGGGGGATTGAACCGTGGTCCCTTTGCTTTGCTAAGCTTGTTCTAAGTAGGTGCTTTAGACCACTGAGCCATCTCACCAGCCCTACAACCTGTATTTTTGAAGCACTTTTATTTTTAAATGCATAACTACAGACTTACTCATAGTTGCATAATTAGTGCAGTAGCTTCCAT